CCCCCCCTCTCCCCACCGCCCTCTCGAGGACACGTGGACAATGGCCTAACCGCTAAGGCATTCAAAACAAGAGTACACCCCCGCCCCCGACCCTCGCGGCAACATTTTTTGGCGCACCAGGACTACTACGAGCCGTCCTTGGGTCGCCGTTCAGGCCAGGGGGCGACGCGGCCGTTCTACCTCACCCCCCCCAAGAGGTATGAAGACATGATATATTTTTTGTTTTCGGAACACAAATTGTCCGTTGCGCGGGCCTTGCTTGGTCCGACGTGTTGGCAAGCTTGTCCGTTCCTTTCGATCGACATGCCCAATGAGGATCCGAGGTTTTGTTGTAAACGTTCTTTGCGAAATTGGTTTGCACATTACAGCGGAAGCACCGGCCGTGGACGACGGATAGACTACTGTACACCCACGGCAGACCTCGCCAACGACCACAAGTGGTCGCTGTCGGGTCAGCGTTTGACCAAGCTTTTCTCACCTTTCGTTAAGACTCAAGTCTGAAGGATCTCCGTCTATATTATAAAGACAGAGGTCTTTCAGACTGAGTCCTAACGATAGCTGAGAAGAGCTCGGTCAAACGCTGACCCCGGAGACTGAAAGACGACCTCACGCTTTGGTGACAGAGCGGCGGCGCACGAAAGGCTACAGGCCTACGCCCTCCATGGTCGTTGCCATGTCCCTTCGCTCCTTGCCACGTCCATTCCTGTTGCGGGACGGTTGCTATCTTTTGCACAAAAAAAACGCTGTGGATTGATGTTTTATCTCCCTCCGATGACAAGCTCAAATACACCCTATGCCTTTTGGACGTCGATACAAAACACCAGGTACATGTACTACAGCCCCCAGGGATCGAGATTGAAGGTGAAAAGTTCAGAACGGAAAACATCTCCCTTCAACACCTTCTGGTACATCCACCTTGGTGACTGTGCCGTCACCTCGAAGGTATAGGTCGCTGTTCTCTTTGCGTGCACTCTTTGATTTCCCTCTGTGTGTGCGTCTTGTAATTTGACTTATTCTTAGAACTATTAATAGTGATCTTGGAAGCCGGTGACGTGCACTGTTTGAAACGCTATGTGTGCGTGTTGTAGCTTGACTTTTTTCTTAGTTTGAACTATTTATAACGATCTTGGAAGCCTGTGACGTGCACCTCTTTGATCTCCCCGGTGTGTCTTGAAACCTCTAGCGATCTTGAAAGCGTGTCACGACGAGAACCCGTAGTTGTCACATTCCGGAAGGTTCGGTACGGTAGCTGCGTCGAAGAGGTGCTCGCAGAAACGTTCCGTATAGCAATACCCCATCAGGTGAAAACGGGTTTTGCAATGTCCCAACCAACCCCCCCCTCGATGGCCCTGCCTATTCTGCATGTCTCTCATGTCGTGTTCTTCGCAGATCCTTCAGTCGTACGATGCCGCATCGAGGAAGCTGGACATCAACGCAAGGTGCTGCGTTGCTAGGACGACCCAGCAGGTGACGCTAACGGCCGGCGAAGGGCTTTCCTAACAGGAGGAGACGCCATTGCGAACCTAAACGTGCTGTGATCTAGACAGTGCTCGAAATGTGTCTCGCTTTGTCGTGTCGAACACAGCGCGCAGTTTCTTACCCCTGCCGCTCCAACGACCTCGTCCGGCCTCTTATGTCCCCCTCGCGCCGTCGTGGCTTGTGTTATTCTTTGTCAGATTCCGTACAAGATGATGGACTCCAACGACCCACGCCGAAAGAAAGCCAGAGATCGGCAGCGCAGTATCGATAGGATTCGCAAGAAGAAGAACGAATGGATAGTCTAATCGGTTTCATTTCCGTTTCGCCATGCTGGTGGTGGTGATTGTGGGCAAGGTTTTGTGGCACGCAGTTTCCTGAGTGGTGTTATCTTGAACTTCCGTACAGCAGTGAGTGGTAGACTATCTCTTGTTTTGTTACGTGTGGCGCATACTGATTTATTGGCCCCACCGTACGGTGAGCTCTTTCAAGGTAACGGTTTCGGATATGGAAATCGGATCCATGTTTGTCGCGGTTTCTTTTTGGTATGGTTACATACAGCGACAGGACAAGAAAATGCTTCGAAAACGACCGCGCGGGTACTGAAGGTGCATATGCGCGTTCTCCCGCCTCTTGCGGTACCGGAGCACTTCTTCTGTACTGCTGTGGGTGAAGGTGCTGAGTAATCGGCAGGGGTACACCCCCACTTCATGTTGTCTTCACTTTTTGCGGAGTCGCGTGACGTTCAGTCCATCCACCGTCATTGTGTGCCTATGATCTGGACCTTCCAATTTCAGGTGCAGGAAACTTACATACAGGCAAGCCAATATATCCTGTACCCAATGGATTCGTAACATGCATGTTGCTGCTGCGTGCATGCATACCAACTACATACACACACACGCGCGCGTTCAAAACCCTGACCAATGAAAAGACGTCAGTCTCAGTGCTCTTAAATTGCTTGTGTCTTCTTTCTGTGCCTCTCTCTGCATGTCTATCTGCCAATCTCTCTCTACTCTACTGTAACTGTTTTCGGTGCATGCATATCTGCTTCTCCAGTCAAATTGAGTCAAATTGCTCCATTGGCTCCATCAACCCCGTCCCCCTGTTCAAACATGGGTGGCGTGTTTCACTGACGAATGCGGCGCAACTCAGCAAGAGTGACGAGTGACGAGTCAAGAGTCAGCCCGCACACCTCACACCCTAGCACCGTCACAGGCTGCACGCGCGGCAGGCCTCGCAGCTCTTACCACAGCCAGCACACGACCAGAAAGCCTAGCAAGGCCTGGTCCTTGAGCACTTGACGTGGGTGGTCTGGTGTGTTGGCCAAACTCCACGTGCACGAAAAGACAACACAGAGGTACTGGCATCATCAGCTCTGGCCTGCTGTGTGTGACGTACTGACGTTGTGTGCAGCACTGCTTGCAAAGCACCTGACACCCACCTCATCCGATTGATGTTTTCACACCAAGAACGCCAGAACAGAATACGCGGGAGCGCGATGGCAGGGTCGACCAGGATTGTGGGGGCGCTGGCATGCCTGGTGTCCATCTCGGCAGCAGCATCGACAACAGGACAGCAAGCGTTCCTTGCACCCGCATCGTCTTGGTTTACCGCTGGACGACCTGACCGGCATTCGGCCATGATGGCCAGGAAGGGTACTTCTATGATGTCGGCCGTGGCGTCGGAGACAGCCGTGGCAGACGCGGCGGGCGGCGTGGAGACTCGCATGTGGAAGTGGAAAGGGTACGACATTCGGTACAAGGTCGCAGCCGAGGTATGGTTGGTTTTGAAAATTTAAAAAAGTGCTGTAGACTATACATACCGTGTACTCCGGAGTAATTGACTGTGCTGTACACCACCGCCCGCTCGCGCGGAATGTGCCTCCAAACACGAGAGACACGCGATGCGTGCGTACGTGCAAGCACGCCGTGCTGTGCCATAGGCAGTAGGTCTGTTGTTGTTGTCGATCCGGAAGCAACCGAGGTTCGGCAGGCGGCAGGATTGATCAAAATGTATGTGCCTATCTATTTCTATGCTTACCGTATATGACACAAGAAAACACACCCCGGTGATAACATTTTGGAGTTTGATAATTAATATTATCACCGGGTGTGGTATCCTGTGGGGGGTGTGTTATCTTGTGTACCCCGGGTGATAAAGTGCAGCTCGCAGGGGCCCCTAAGGGGGTGTGATAAAACAGGGGGGGTGATAGCGCGTCCGAACACCCACAGCGTGTGTTTGGGGGTGTGATAAATGAGGGTGTGTGATAAAAGGGGGTGTGATAGCACGTCCGAACAGCCACAGCGTGTGCTTTGGGGTGTGATAAATGAGGGGGTGCGATAAAAGGGGGTGTGATAGCCATGCCTGCGCGTACACGTGCAGTGTAGGGACCTACCTAAAGGGGCGTGGAAAAGCAAAGGGGCTCAACCGAGGTGACGAAACTCCTGAGCACATGACCTCGGCGATAACGCAACCCTCTCATCGCCAAAAAAAGTTTGAAACAAAATACGGGCTTGAATCGAGCAAGAAAAAATTAAAAATCGAAGGTACCTCGACCGATACGATGATTGGCGGTGGCCACAGACTGCGTGCGCCATCCTTCCTGCCCCCTCACAAAAACGTTTACTTGGTACTTGCGGCTGCATTCTGCTCTGCCTGCACGTTCATGTTGTTGGGGGTCTCCATGCGGGGGGTTTCCCCGCACACAGCTGACGTGGTTGTGTGTGTGATTGCCCAGGGCAGATACTGTCACCCCGGTGATAAAGAAGGAGGGGCCCCGTGACTATATGCGGCGTAACTAAAAATATCACTGGGGTGTGTTATGTTATGTACCCCCGGTGATATATCGATGGTTTGTCAGAAGCGCCCAAAACTATCACCGGGGTGTCGTATTCTGTGGGGGGTGTGCTTTCTTATGTAGGTGTGTTATCTTGTGTCATATACGGTATATATGCGTACTATTAATATTTGTTGTGTTGGCGCAGACCAAAAGGAAGGGTGAGTTTTCTGGCGCAGACTAAATAGAAACCAACCCCAATCAGCCGAACGGAGGCATGGTGCTATGTTTGGCTGGCACATCTGATGTGTTTCAGCTTCACAGTGCCTGTCATACACCTGTTTTTTTTTTTTCCGCGAGAGTTTGGCGACGACAAAGTCGCCTAAACAGTGTCTGTCTCCCACAGGCGGTTATTTTTCTTTTGGCGAGTGTGATGGTATTTGACCCCTTCCTTCAGAATCAATCACCTTAGAGCTGTGTGGAACTCTCTTGTCCGACCACAGTAACAGGTTGTTGTTGCTTTCCGTTGTTCTCTTTCTCTTGATTAACGCTTTCCAAGCCAACCCACAATAGCCCACGCACACACGATCATAGATCGTCTGTACGCACACACTGAACAGAAGGGCACATGTCTCGGCATAAAGCCCTGATCTAGAATGACGTCACGTCTTATCATCCGACGGCGCCAAATAGCCATGATCCACCACGATTACATGTCTACCTCCAGATACCATAACACGAGAGTTTGACTGGCAACCAATGGTTGTTGTTTCATGTCTAACAGGCACCCCCCCCCCAAAGACCTGTCTCTCCCCCAACACCGTGGGGGCCCCAACCCAACCCCAACCCCCAAACGGCGTCGATCGGGGACACGATGCTACAGCAGTATTGCAGAAGTCGCAGCACATCGCCACGACACAGCAAGGTAGGTAGGTGGTGGTGTTGTGTCGTCTCATCTTGTACATACAGCAGGCAGGCACTTAATACATTGAATCCGAGGCCGGTTGGACGGTTATTTTAGGAAAACTGAATAAATACCATACGAACACAGGGAGACTACCCATTCGAGATATAACCACAGTCGAACGGGATGTAGATATGTAGGTTGTTTTCCTCCGCGGCTGGTTTCGAAATGAGAACCAACCGTCTTGTCGTTTGTTGTCCGGCTACGACGACAGGTGTACACGATGTACTTTGTTCAAGAAACAAACGCGCGCAGACATCCACAAGTGGTAATACGAGTGGTGAACGGAAGGAGGACGATGATATGTACTTCGTATGATGTGTGCAGGATCTGATGGAAGCAGCAAGAACATGCGCCATGCGAACGGGGCCGAAACAAACACACACGAACGAGTAGTTTCGAAAGCAGAAGCCTCGACCTTGGCACACGTACGTACGTGCATTTCTCTCCATCTACTACCTACCGTCGTCTCTGTGCAGGATGTGATGGAAACAGCAAGAACAACATCCCATGCGAAAGCAGTAGCCTCCTCCTCAGTTGACCGAGGTTCACAACCTATCCGTCTGAAAAGATCCTGCTCGACAACAATGATCTAGACTATGTATGACCCTGGATGGTTGTAGTTGTACGAAGAAATACACTGAAAAGTGTAGTACTCTACATACACTGAAGAGCGTAGTACACGTCTCACCACGAAAAATGGGGGGACTGTCGTCATAATATATTGGACGAAAACACACGCACACACTACGAATTTCCTCCGGGTCTCCCGGCCTGCACACCCTATCAACCACCTCGTTCTTCCGTGTACTCTTGCTAGCGATATGTCTCTCTTCGCCGAATGAGTTCGACTGACAACGCTGCATCCGACGACGCTCGAAACGTCTCCAACACAGGGAAGCGACGGCCCCCCGATGGTGCTGATCCACGGGTTCGGCGGCAACGCGGATCACTGGCGAAAGAACATCCCTACTCTGGCCAAGACCGGTCCCGTTTACGCGATCGATCTTCTCGGTGAGAGGCATTCGAACAGCGCCCCCCCCTCTGTCGTCATTTAGAGTTGTCTCAGGCGTACGTCCTGCTAGCCTCCGCTTGGTGTTTGTAGGGGGGTACGGGGTGAGGTTCGGGGGTTGGGGCTAGGGTCAGGGATACGAAACCCCCGTCTCTATTTTGTGGATAAAAGTCAATTTCTCGCGAAGACGGTCTTGTTGGCGGAGTCGCAGGGTGCAGCAAGCGCGAGCGCTTTGGAAAGGAAGGAGAAACAAGCGTATAGCGTACGGAGAAGTGGAGTCCAAAGACGGGGAAGTGGTGTTGGTAGTGACGTCATCCTCCTTGTTGGCCAATGGGCGCTCAGCAAGTTATTTGTTCAGATCGGTGCCGTCTTGGTTGACACCCAGTGTATGTTGAGCAGCAGCCTGCTTGCAATTCCCAGGGAAGAGGCAGCACTGCCGAGACCCTGAGATGCACTCGCTGACACCGCGCACGCAACCAGGATGAAGCCAGCGAAGGAGCAGGCGACTGCGAAGTCGAGCACCCTGCACAATCGAACATGGTTCATGTCTCGTCGCAATTCTGGCGAGAGCCCGAGGGCCATGCTTCGCCGCGCAGCACCCGCCGTTGCGTGTTACGCGTTCGCAGCTGTCGTTTACTTGGAGAGGGTCCTGTGAAACTTCCCGCTCCTCTGTGCTCGCCATCAGTTTGCTCCGGATCAACAACCGTTTCCGCCAAAAAACAGGATACGGGTTTTCGTCCAAGCCTGACCCCGGTCCATGGGAGGAGCGGAATTCCATCTACTGCTTCGAAACTTGGTCTGAGCAGGTGACTCTCTTCGGTCTGTTGTTGCAGGTACAGCAGTAGTACACGAAACATTGCGTGAGACACGGCGTCGCTGGCCCCGTTTTGACCCGTCGGTGTCCACCATTCCCACTGCTGTGTGTGTTGATGCTCACGAACCCTGACCCCCGGATTGCTGGACAACGAAACCGGTATTGCAGTTGCGGGACTTCGCGACTGAGGTTGTCGGCAAGCCCGTGTTCATGGTGTGCAACAGCGTCGGCGGCGTAGCCGGCTTGCAGGCGGGGGTAGACGCTCCAGAACAGGTGAGGACATGGCAGTAGTTGCCATATTCCCCTTTCGTTGGGGTGTTAACCAGTGACTAGTGGACTCTATCTTCGTGTGTTAGGCATCGGTTGGAGCAGGCAGTGGTCATGTGCAGTCCGCATCGAGAGGATTGATGCTTGTGTTGCGGTCAACGGCAGGTTCCGGTGTTTTTTTGGCGCTCTTTTCCCCCCCAAGACGATGGCTACAAGGACATTCCATGATACCTTGTTTTTTTCATGCGAGACACCTGGTGATGGTAACACCGCTATCGCTTGAATCGGTAGCAGGCAACACCTGCTGTGGCAAGGACATGCCTGAACTGATCACACATATCCTGCATCGGAACGCGTTCAGGCACCTCCGTGCTCTTTGCCACCGACGAAACCGACCCATGCCATAAACTCGTAGATTACAATTGTTCGTGCGGCGTGAACACCTAGCCGTGGAACCCCGGTGGGAGTGTAACTCTTGCCGGGGAAGTTATTGGATGCGGTCAGCCGATACAAGAATATATCCGAGATCCCATTTCCACGTTTTGTTTTGTTTTCGGCGGGGGTTAAGCCCCGCCCCGAAGAAAACAAAACCACCACCACCACCACCACCAACAGCAACAACAGGCGCGCAGTAACTGGTCGACTGGCTTATGTGTTTGTTGTCTATGGTCCGGGGTGTTCAGTGTATACATCTGGTCGTGCGTTGTCGACTGCGGTGTGTGTACCGCTATGCCGTACACTTACCTAGAAGCACGAAACGGTTTCGACTGCCCGTCACACCGAGATCAGATACTTAAATGTGGCGGTGCGTGACACTGCTGACCTTTCGTCGGCCATTTGTTGGCATGACAAATGATGCAGGTTTTGGGCGTCGTTCTGTTCAACATTTCGTTGAGGATGCTGCACACCTCTAAGCAAGCGGTGGCTGGGAGACCGTTCGTGAAGGGCCTGCAATACGTGCTGCGAGAAACGCCGATCGGACCCCTGTTCTTTGGCTCCGTGGCAAAGGTACGTACGACCTTGTCTGCCGTAGCTTGGCAGGGGTGAGCATAGACTGGTACAGTATACATAGCGTTCAGCAGCAATACAACGTGGATCAAGGAAATAAGGTGGCTTGATGTAGTAGCCACCGGGCTTGAGCTGACATATCCTGGCGCATCCGACCCTTTCCTGCCATGGATGTGCCGGGAGTTTACTGCGAGACAGATCCCTTTAGACGTCCTTCTTGTATTGTTCAAGTGCTGCTGGTAACTGGCTCGTAGCAGCACGGCGTACTCTAATGTTTTGCATGCCTTGTTGATAAACCATTGGGGAAACCGTGCTGCAGACCACTCCTTTTTTGCGTTCTCAAGAGGCGCTCGCATCTGTCGTGCCCGTGACCTAGCCGCTTGACGTTCGACCGCCGACCCCCCCCCCCCCCCCCCCAAGGGTGATGACCAGTTTTTTTGTCATTCCTGTGAAAATGTAGCCTGGGCCGGCTAAAACCCGGCATATCGCTCCGTCCCGGCTTTGTAAGGATGCGAGGTCAATAGTCTGACGACTTTTAATACGACATGCGTTTGCATAAGTACTATTAATACGACATGCGTTTGCATGAGTACCCCCTCCCCCCCAATATTGTTTGTTCACCGCGCCCCCTGATTTGATCGACGCGTCCGTTCAGCCGGAGGCCGTCTCGAACATCCTGAAGCAGTGCTACGGAGATCCTGATCAGGTCACGGAGGAGCTGGTCAAGTGCATCCTGACGCCAGGGCTTGAGGAGGGAGCAGTCAAGGTGACAACAAGACACCGCTGCTTGCGACTGTAGGCGATGGCTGCGCGCTGTTAGCTACCATGTTGTGGAAGTCGGCCGGCGATCAATCAGCTCATCCTTTCTATCTCGCCAGACGCTATGGCAGTATACATGTTCCTCCGCACCATCGAGGACGTCCTACGGAAATGCATGCGACCGTAGGCAAGGGCGGCGCGACGTGAACTACATATATAGTGCCATGTTGTGCCAAGTCGGTCGCCCGAAAGCTGTCTGAATTGCGGCGCGATCCAATATGGCTCACCCTTCTACATATCTCGCCAGACGTTTCCGGAGGTATCATTGTTTCTCCGCACCATCGAGGACGCCTCACGCTTATATTTTGAAGGCTCGCGGTGCGTGTCCGAGAAACCGTGAATCACATCGCGTGTGCTTTGGAGCCGCTGCTGGCCGAGTCAAATTATCCTGTTCCGCGTGGCGCGCGGACGCCCGTCCGCCCTCGCCCCCTCGACACAACTATATGTGATAGCTATTTTATTTATTTCTTCATGTTTTTTTTTTTAACTCTCTATTTTATTCAACTCTTGTACAGTTGGCGTATTCAGTTCTTGTACAGTTGGCGTCCGCACTTAAGACCGTCTAGTTTTTGCCGAGGCTAAGGTTCGTAGGGTTCCTCGGATGATGTCGTACGAATGGCCGCTACATACCAATAGTTTTTAGTGGCTCACAAACGGTGTTCAAGTTCTCAGATTTTTAGGTTTTCGAGGCGATATCAAATTCTTAGTTGATACCACCTTCTTATTAATTGCGGGGGCTAACTGCTAACGCCGGGGCTGGGCCCACAGGTGTTCCTGGATTTCATTTCTTACTCGGGCGGGCCGCTGCCGGAGGACCTGCTCGCAGCAATCAAGGTTCCCGTACAGATCGCCTGGGGAGTCGAAGACCCCTGGGAGCCGATGGAGCAGGGCAAGGCCTACGCGGAGTTCGACTCCGTAGAGGTACGATCAAACGCGCAACATGGACATAAGGGTGCAGGGCGGGGCGTGCGTGCGGCAGCGCGGACAGCGGTTGCGGCGTGTCTTCGGGTATTCTTCGTTGAAATGGTGTAGGTTGGAGTTCCTCACTGCCAGGTTCTTCGAGTGATGGCGTAATTCTCCACGGCTGCTACGGCCTGTGGTTGCTCGTGTTGTTTTTCTCCGTCACGTTTTCGGCAGTTTTCGGCCCCCGATTGAGGCACACCCTGTGCATCACCCCGTGATCCCGCAACCGTGATGACTGGTTACGTTTGTCTTGCTGACTCTTTTTGGTTGTCCGTTCCGGTTGTTTCCTCCGCGTTGTTCCCCCTCCCCGCAGGGCTTCGTCGAGCTTCCCGGAGCCGGACACTGTCCCATGGACGAGGCGCCACATTTAACAGACCCGGTCGTACTCGACTTCGTGGCAAAGCACTACAAGAAAGAGCAGTAACCCCCCCCCCCCCGCACCGCAACATTTTGATTTGAAGTCAGCCGCGGCGGCATTGAACAAAGTATGCAAGAGTCATTTTTATGTGGTCGGTATCCTTGCTTTGCCTATAACGGCGAAGGCGATGACTAACCACTGCTGTGTGTTTTCGCGTGAAAGGCCTTCCTTGCGGTGATGAGCGGCGGATCCCGTCGTGTGAAAATCAATCTCATATCATCAGCGATGTACGTTCTGTGTGCCGGGCATTGTTCGAAGATAATTTGGTCAGCTCTGTTCCTGCGGAGTGAAAAATTTACGTACATGGGTGGCGTGGGACCGGCCAAGCCGATTGTTAACTATTTAGCGCTCTGGAGCAGAGGCAGTCTGTGAAAAGAGACTTAATACTTCATGTAAGACAGCATTTTTCGCCGAGAATTAACTGGCCATGGCCCCCTTGTGCTTCATCGGTCGCTCTCGGAATTGAAGAAGTTTGCGGCGTCTGTATTGTCTGCGTGAAAATCGCGCCAGGCGTTCTTTGCCCGTCGTTCCGTTCTCTTCTGGCTTTTTTTAGGTGGGCTGTACGTTGGGACATTTTCTGTACATACATAGTCTCTGTAGAAGTGGCAATTTGGGACGGTATTTTGAGCAAGGGGGCCCCAAAGTTATAGCACAACATTTTAGTGTTTTGATATGAAAGGCTTGGGCCATGTTGGCTTGTTGCAGCGTACTGCTGTATAGTTACTGCAGGACTGAAATATCGACCTAGAACGTTACGGGGATCCACTCTTTCTATGTCACGCAGGCGTTGCTTGTGGGGAAAGGGTCGATTGCTGCTTCTCCTTTGACTTACGGCGGGTGAGTCAGCACGCGTTGGACTTGTTTGCGGTTTGACTCATCGTCATGTCTGCGGGATATGCCCCCTACCCTGTTCCGCGGTTGTGGCGAGAGTGCGGCATGTACAAAAAAGCCTCCATGCAAGCTCCACTGCTGCGCCCAAACGACGAGTGCGGCTTGTACTTTTCTCTCTGGCGCTCATCCTCACCAATCAGTGGCAAGGGTACGCGGAGCTAGCCCCCTTACTGTTTCGGTGTGACACAGCTGTAAACACGGCCGTCAGAATATTATCCACCCCCTGGCTCACGAATTTTTTGTTCGTTAGAAGCGGTGTCACTTTTCGTTACCTGCTTGGTCTGGCACGCCGTCCCGAAGGCGACTTTCTTCCCCGCGGCCGTGGTTGCTGCATTCAACAGACAGGCAAGACAACGGTGGAAACGTTGTGTTTTGCCCTCCGTCGGTTTGATAGCGGCGTGACGTTACAGTAGTAGTTCTGCAAAGGATACCAGTACAGGGGGCCCCAGGCCACAGCGACCCCCGTTGAAAACGGTCTTCGTACAAACGTGCACCGCATCCCGTGCAAAGATCGGCGATGAGAGAGAAAACCACGCAAGATCTTGTTCCCAACCACAGATAGAGATTTCCTTTGATTGGGACAGAGTAGTGAGGGTTACCGCAATACCAAGTACCAGCAGAGAGGAGGCACAGCTATGTAGGTTTCGCAAAGCCCTACGCGGCGGTTTCGCCAGATGAAACCACCCGCCTTTCACAAGCAGCAGCAAGGGTAGGGACAGCTGTAGAGATAGCTACTACTACTACATGTAGAAGAGGTGAGGTCTCGACACAACAGCAGCAGTGCCGAGCCACAACCTGGGGTGACCAATTGTTAGACCATGGGCTCAGCTTGCCATACACATGGGGCATGGCAAGAGAGGAAGCGGCAAGCGTGCCGGGGAGCGTGGCCCCATTGTAGGAACACTAACCCCGGCAACAATAAACCGCCGCCCGAACCAACTTTGATGACGCGGCGCCCCCAACTTCGAACTTGTTGTGTTGCAGCAGCAAGCAGGAAGCAGGAAGCAAGCGCTGACGGCGGTGTTGTGTGCTGCAGTTGTGGTCGACTTCACAAGACCAGCCCCGGCATAGAGGTGCCTTAGTCGCACAGCAGCAGCTACCCGCCCAGAGAGGATGAGTTCCCCGGCCGCCGGGAAGGGCGAGCTGCTAGGCCATTCGACGTGGCACCCGGAGGCGTCGTCCGCTGCCGAAGCAGCGCCTCGCCCGAACGGTTTGGTCCAGGATGGAGCGAGCACGTCGCTCAACAACTCCCCAGAGAGGGCTAGGCGCGCCGCACCTAAGAGGTCGGGTTTCAACATGAAGGTGAAGGCTGGCTGGCTCGCTTGCGGTTGGGAAGAGCGCGTGTGTGACGACTCACGCACGTCTCGTCGCACAAGCAGGGATTCGGCGGGGCCTTTCTATTTTTGTAGTTTTGCCAAGGATGCGGTTGCCTTTGCCACATCATCCCCGAAACCTTTCCCACGACAGCCAGCACTGCTGCTGTTGCTGCCAATTATCCGGAGTCCATGCATGTCCTAGTTTTCCTTTTTCGGCCTCTCTCTGCTTCTGTCCACTACTTTTGTTGTTGTGTGTTGCCGTACACACTGCTTCAGCTTGTCATATCCCCCACCAACATGCGGTTTCTCACTCGATCCTGCCTGTCATTTACATGCGCTATGTACATACATGTACCCTTGTCCATCATCGGTCCTTTGGAAGCGTACGCATACCGTATACGACGCAAGATAACACACCCCCTTGGCCGATTTTCAAAGATCGATTTCTCAACAGCAGGAAGAGTCACAGCGCCGAAAACGGCGGCGTTGGAACCGTCTCGTCGAGAGCTTTTCGGAAATGTATTGTTTCGCTTATGCATCCTCTTCGTCGTGGAGTTGTTGTTGTTGTTGTTGTTGGTGTTGTCTTCACATTAAAAACCGTTCCGATCTCTCTCTACCCAGTACCTTCGTATGTCCGTACTGATCCAACTCTCGACGCGGTCGATTCCCGTGGTCACAGGTTAACTTACCCTAAAAAGGTACACTCAAATAAACTGGCCCCGAGGGGTCCGCAAGTCAATAGTAATCGAGCTTTGAAAATCGGTCCAGGGGGTGTGTTATCTTGTGTCATACAATCGGGCGGGTGAAGACTGTTAAGGTTTGACAGCTATAGCTTTGGGGTGAAGATCAACATGGAGCCTGCTGTAATGCCGCATTTATTCGACGTTCCTCCCACATGCTGCTACACCCCAATCCTCAAAAGTGTATGCGGCACAGACTACAAACTTTTTATGCGTAGTCTCATACGGAGTATGTACAACAGCAGTCGGCCAGACTACTGAAACGACACGCCCAACGTCAACCTGTCATCTCCAAAAGCAAAGACTTCCACACATTTCCTTTGGACGGGGTATTATCTCGAACGGGGTACCGTTTCTCTGACGCGTTGTATGTTTCTAAGCACAAACGTAAATGAGAGAGGTGGTAATTGTCCATACGGAGGTTCGCCCGGTTTTTCGGAGATTCCATTAACTCACCAATAGTGTACGCTGGAACGCGAGCAAATACGATACATAGGGTTTGCAACAATGGCGATACGTCCGGGGTAGATGATCCGCTACTACTGCAATTTTTTGTCTGTCAACAATGTCGTCCGCTCTGTGCCATGTTTACAACTGCCGCATGCCGTGCGGTTGCCACTTGCGACTTCAACGACAGTTGAATGACAGCAGCACATTTATACTACTTCTGCGTGCAGCAGCCTTCGCAGCTGGGTTAGGATTAGGAATAGGGTCTGCGTACCCCCTCCCTGTTCTATTTCCTCACATGCTTTAATTTCTCGCGGAAGCGGTCCATGGGTCAGAGGTTGCTAGACAGTTTCCATGTATTTTCTTTTCGTTGTCATGTCACCGTCGCCGTCGCAAGGGGCAATACCAAAACTAGGTATCCCGCCTCTGGTTGAGCGGAACCAACCGCCTTTGCGAGGGTCTTACGCGTTACGTGTGAAGAACCGCCTTCTTCGCGAGGACATCAAGCGTTACTTGTGAAGAACCGCCTTCTTCGCGAGGATACTAAGCGTCACATGTGAAACAGCGAGGGGGTGTTCGTAACCCTAACCCCCAAGTCAAATCCGTACCCAAGCTCAACGGTTATAGGGGCTACAAAAGGTCCGTGTCCCCTGTTATATCCTTCATTCGGGAGTTACTTCTCCCGCACTTTCCTGCCAGAACAAGCCCGCACCACCGTCGATACTTTCCTACATTCCAATCCCACAACTCATGACACTAACCCACACTGGAGATTCTCGTACGCAGATAGGGACGACTCGAGATCTCGACACCCACCTGTCGAACCTCCCAACATGAGAGTATCGAGGATGCGGAGCTCCAACAAAGATCACCCTGCCACATCTCTCACTCGATGAGTCGCAAAACCATCGTTTGACCAACCTAAAACGAAGGGAACGGAGGAGGGTGCTCAAGAGTAGACGGAGATCGCTGCCCTCCGGGTTCAGCACACTGCTGACGCCGCGGAGATGGTGGAGTTCGAGAAAACACATATACCCTGCCGTCTACCGGCGGCGCAGCGCACTGGCAGCCTTCCTAGGACATCCAACCGCCGCAGGGAAGGCAAACTTCAAGGACAATGCTCAAGCCAACGCCCCAGCTTGAGAACGATCTCTCTGGGTAAGTTGAACTGTGCCGCTTGCGGTTACGTTGGACAACTGACCTTCGCGACCACGCGAAAACCAACTTACCGAGAGATCGTCCTCAAGCTGGGGCGTTGGCTTGAGCACCGGCCTTGAAGTTTGCCTTCCCTGCGGTGGTTGGACGTCCTAGGGAGGCTGTCAGTGCGTTGACCCCGGGGGTTTGAGCTACGGGGCGGCGGTAGGGTCATGATGCGCAAGGGTGCAGGCCGAAAGGTTAGACATCACGTCAGAAGGGATGGCTGGTCGGATGCGTGGACGGCAACAGCAGTGTTCAAGAAAATCAATACGGCAAAGCAAAGTTTTCACAAAGCAGGCAAAAGGTACAAACCGGTGGTACGGTAGGGTCGCATCCAGCCAGCGGGGAAAATTGCACCATGGGGGCCCTCGCTTGGAGGACTGACGTTGGCCTTGGTACCAGTGTTGTCACGCGT